TTTCATCTGGAAATTCAGAAAACGTATCTTCTATAGTTTAGTCCTGTCACTGACAGTGGTTTAGAATTATCTTCCCAAATTCGCTCAAAGGATGATCTTACAGATTTACAACTTGTCAAATCTTTGGGAATCAGTACAACAATGCCCTTAAATGATTTTAGAGCCAGAGAGCAGTTAGAACCACAGGTATGAATTTACTTTACAGCGCAGTTCAGCAGACCAATGTACCAGTGACAGTTATAAAAGTGCTTTTATTTTATTCAGTTAGCCAATGTAATTTTAAATAGCTTGATTTTAATTTTCCCTCCAAACCAAAAGGAAGAGTCTATTAACAAATTGGCATGTAAAAAGTATGATTAAAATGAGCCATGGTGGCGCAGTGGTTAGAATGCAGTACTGCATGCTACTTCTACTGACTGCCAGCTGTCTGCAGTTCGGCAGTCGATTCTCACTGGCTCACGGTTGACTCAGCCTTCCATCCTTCCAAAGTCAGTAAAATGAGGACTAAAATTGTTGGGGGCAAGAGGCTGACTCTGTAAACCGCTTAGAGAGGGCTGTAAAAGCACTATGAAGTGATATATAAGTCTAAGTGCTATTGCTAAAAGAGGCTGAAACAAAAAAATAGGGTGATGGGTACATCACTGTATTTTCTGAGTAGCTCTGTAAATAGGTGTAAAGGTAATAAGATGAAGAATATTTTTCTGTGTGTATGAATTTGATTTCCAATCTACTTTTTATGAAACTTGCAAAACAATTATTTCAATTAAAAATAGTAAAGCGCTCTATTTCAAACATTAATAACTGCTATCTGTGTATGTAGGTCTTCTCAAGCATAGTTTGCATTACCAAAACTACTTTTCATGAAGTTAGATAGCACTGACCTTACACTATTTGGACTGATTTGGATTATGAATGTCACAAATCTTTTAAGGTGAAGAGCAATTTTACAGTGGGACAAATTGCCTCCATAAATTTTTGAATAAAGTAGGCAAATTGGATGACTATGAAATATTTAAGAATACAATTTCCAGTTTTTCTCATCTTTGGCAAGATTGGTGGAAATTGAAAATTAAACTTTTAAAAGGCTTTTACTGTTGAATATATTACTATTCTTGAAGTGTTAGAAATAGAAAATCATTTGCTGCTATTCTAGATGCAAGATGTCTATCCACAGAGCTGAGTCATTTTAATTAAGAAGACTGATTTTTTTTCTTTTAGTGTATGGGTTTATTTATCAGTGAAGTAGTATATAGGATTACTTTGTCACTTAACAATATTAGCCTGTGCTAATTTTCTGCCTTATTATTGTTGTGATTAAAGAATGAATGTCCTCAGAGGGAAAAGACTCCAACTGCCTCAGTAGAATCCATCCCAGAGGTTCTTGAAGAGTGCACTTCTGTAACTGAACACTCAGATTCTGTTTCAATTCATGACATGGACTATGTTAACCCTCGAGGTGTACGATTTACTCAGTGTTCTCAAAAAGAGGGTGAGTGCATTGGAAAAACGTACTATAATAGTAATTTCTGTTTTCATTCTATGTCTTTAAAAATATCCAAATACCATTAATTTCCCTCTATCAAGAATAATATATCTCTAACTAATTGGAAGGATACTGAGCAGGAGTGCTATAGTTGCAATGTTTTCGTGTGTTCTCTCTTTCAAGGAACAACATTAGTCCCTTATGGATTGCCCTGTATTCGTGAACTACTGCGTTTCCTCATCTCCCTCACGAATCCACATGACCGACACAATTCTGAGGTGATGATCCACATGGGTCTACAGCTACTCACAGTTGCTCTTGAATTGACTTGTGTGGCAAACTGCCCATCTCTCTTAGGACTTATAAAAGAAGAATTATGTCGGTATCTCTTTCAAGTAAGCATGAACATAATATCTTTCTCATTTTTAAAGATATGGCATGTATGTTGAAGTCTTTTGGAATAATTATTTTCTATATGATTTTAGGTTGGGATGGTGGAAAGAATAGATTTATATTCATTATCTTTGAACTTTTCATTCATTCCCAGTTATTGAACATGGAGCGGCTCAATTTATATTCAGCTTCCCTTAGGGTTTGCTTCCTTTTATTTGAGAAAATGAGAGAGCACTTGAAATTCCAACTGGAGGTGAGCCTCTTGAAGTATGTTACCTAATCTTTGGAAGAAATTATTCCCATTTGGGGGAAGGTCTGGGGACCTTTTGAAAAAAATATTCTATATCATTAAAATGCTCAGTAGAAATGTTCATATACTTCCATTTTTAAATTTTATTTTCTATTAAATACATTTCTTAGTGCTTAATAAACATGTTGTCTTGCAGTTTTGTGCTCTTATATTTTAATGTATTCATTTATAATGATACATTTTATAATCAAATTGTTTTGAAACTCCAATTGCAAAGTCTGGAATAGAAAAGTAAGAGTGGAGACCAGGAAAAGAAACAATCACTTATAATATTCACCCATGTTATAGATGAATCACATATATATCCTATAAACTGAACTATCCTATATCTTTCTGCCAGATGTATATCAAGAAACTGATGGAGATCATCACAGTGGAAAGCCCCAAGATGATTTATGAAATGAAGGAGATGGCCCTGGAGGCTATAGTTCAGCTATGGAGGATTCCTAGCTTTGTAACTGAACTCTACATTAACTATGACTGTGACTATTACTGTGCTAATCTTTTTGAAGACCTCAGCAAACTACTATCCAAGGTCCTGACGAAGAATTTCTTTGGTGTTTTCTTTTCAGTACAATTACAAGCACAAAATAATAAACCATGTTTATTTTGTAAGGAAAACCTAGGAAACTTCTCCATAGACTGCAAAATTTGACTCCCAAGTCTCACGCGATTGTACTCTCTCCTTTCTCATGCCTCATTGAATTGCTAAAAAGGGGAAAATTCACCGTATAACCAGATCAGAGCTTTTAAGTACCCTAGAAATGCTTCAGAATATCACCTAAAGTTACCAGTAGAGGCTTTTTAAAATCTTTACTATAGGTAGGAATATTTTCTGAAGAGAAATTCAGTTGGAAGGGCTATTTTTAGTCCTGTACCTTTTCCTCAGAAAAATGCCTCATACTGTAATCAGGCTTTAAAACATAACCATGATTGTTGGTGGAAATACTTTGAAATCTAATGTGCTTGAGTTAAACCTGTTTACGGGGGAGAGAAAATAAATGTTAGGTCTATATATACAAAAAATCATTTTGGACTGTGATTCTGTGGACTATCATGCTGTTTCCAGAATGCTTTCTGGAAGTTTGACACTGAGGACAAAATAGCCCTGTCTTATTCTTGGTTAGGTCTGTGCTATTTAGTAAATTATCCTTATTGTTTTCTTCTACAAAATGTGAAAATTGGGAATTGGGAATATTTTATGAGGAATTCCTAACCACTGTGATTTCTTTTTATCAAGAATGGTATAAAATCTAAACAGAAAATAATGGGAGTTCAGATTCTTTCACAGTATCACTGTGGATGGGAATACTTAGCTACAAATGTAAATTAAATTTACAGTGAATTTCTAGACCTGGGGATCCCATGGACAGATTTTAGGGCATCCATGAATTGGGAAAGAAATTTAGTTTCATTGTTTTACTTCATTGTTTTACTTCATGTAAAACATGTTTTAAATTCTGGGTTTCACCAGACCTGCAAAGGAATTCATAACAAAAAAATTGTTAAAAACTCCTGATTTAATGACCAACTACTGCCTACCTGATCATAATGCTGAGGATAATGTGAAAAAAAACGGAGACAATCTAGAGATTTGGTTGACCACAATCTAAGCATAGTTATAAATAATGGGGATGCCAGTTACTCTGGCAGTTACTCAGTATACTCTGAGATATGCCTGCTTAGATTGTGATCAACCAAATCTCTAGATATCCTATGTTATTGGGCTTTTAAAACTATAGAACAGAGTAGACCAATGCAACACAATCCTAGATTTAATCCGAAATGGGGACTGTGATCAGATTTGAAATGAGTTTGAACACAGATGGGAAATGATGATTATTGTACTGGTACACTTAGCATATAAACAAATGGAAATTGCTTGCAGGGTGTAACATAGTCACATAGCATCTACAAAAAAGGAAACATAAAAAATGAGGGGGCTGAGAAACACAGACTGGAAGAAAAGTCAAGAGAGAGAAATTGTAAGACCTAGAGCTTATTTAAAACCACAGTAATTAAAGCTTAACTGTCTTTATTATATTTAATGTAAGAAAGGATCATCTGTAAAAATTAAGAAGGCTTTTTTTCAGCATGTTTCCAACAAAGAGAACAGAAAGAAGCAAAATCTCTGGTAGATAAAATGTAAGGTAATAACAAAAAATGAAAAAACAAAGAATCTCATGAGAGACTCAGGAGGAAACAGATTTCGTTAAATTCAATCAGGCTATAAATTGATGAAATAAGAGGGATTTTCAAGTATGATGGGGAGTTTGCAGAAAAATGATTTATTTGCATCTCTCCTTGATACATAATATGTTGAAAAGGTACCTGAGCCATTATGATTTTCTTAGGGAGGAAATCAGAACCAAGAAAAATTGAGGAACAAGAGAAGAATCATCAAAATTTGCTGCTATCTACATAAGAGTTCTTAAAGAATTGAATGTGAAAATGTTTTAACTCTCTAGAAAAAATGTGTAACTTGTCATTCAAATCATACTCAGTGTCAGGAGTTTGGAAAATAGTGTTATACCAGTTTTTAAAAGTGAAATGGGAAGATCCAGGAAATGTCCAAATTATGCAACTAATGCATAGATACCCAGTGAATTGGGCATTTCAACCACATTTCTACTCTGTGTTTGGGATGGGCATCTTATAATTATTGTAATTCATGACTTACAATCGATCGATTAATCGCTGTTCAAAGTTAGGCAGATCCCCCCAAAAGCTATTTATGACCTGGTCCCGAAGTAATTGGTACTCCCATGCTCATTCGCCCTTAAGACTGACCATAGGGACACTGCAGTACCCCTGCCTACCTTCTCCTCCACCCTGGCCCTGCAAGCATTTCCCAATGACTCCCCACTAGACCTAGGCTTGATTCTCATTCCACCAGGCTCCACCATTCTTTCTCACTTAACTTTTTTTTTTTATTGAAAAGTTTTATGAAAAATACAAACATTTTCACCCCCCCACCCTTCCCCCCTCAACCCTCCCTCCCCTTCCCACCCTCCCTTCCCCTCCCTCCCCCCACCCCCCTCCCTAGACTTCCCAGAACGAGCACAGGGTATAGCATTCACAAACCAAGAACTAAAATGTGCTAACAAATATTACATTTCATATTCTCCCTAGGTCCTTAACTCCTTATAACTCAGAAAAAACAAACATAAACTACTTAATATTATTTCATTCATAAGCTATATGAATCTTCTTATTCGGATACTTCTTCTGTATGTAATCAATCCATTTTCTCCATTCCGATATATATCTCTCATTTGAATGGTCTTTAAGGTATGATGAAATTTTTGCCATTTCCGCCAAATGCACAACTTTTAATGTCCATTCCTCAGTAGTAGGTGGATCTTCCAGTACTGTGCCACCAGTAATCTGGCAGCTGTTATTAAGTTCAAAACCATCTTAGTCTCTATTACAGTACAATCCGTAACTATTCCCAACAGAAAAAACTGTGGTGTAAACTTAATTTTTTTCTTCAAAATATTTTGAATAATCCACCATATTTTTATCCAAAAAGCCTTAATCTTTTTACATGTCCACCATATATGAAAATATGTAGCATCTTCACACTCACATCGCCAACACTTGGGTTGTAAATTTGGATACATACAAGCTAGTTTTTTTGGGTCTAAATGCCATCTATAAAACATTTTGTAAAAATTCTCCCTTAAATTTTGTGCTTGTGTAAATCTTACATTTCTAACCCATATCTTTTCCCATGTTTCCATCATTATTGGTTCACCTACATTTTGTGCCCATTTTATCATACAACCCTTGACTAAGTCTGTTTCTGAATCTATTTCCAATAATGCATTGTACAACCTTTTTATGTGCATTTGACCTTCATCTCTTATTTGCTTTATCAAATTCTCATCCTGCTGCAAAATACCAATTTTTTGATCTTCTCTCCATCTGGCCAGCAGCTGTCCATATTGAAACCAAGTCTTAATAGTCCCTTCTTCTTTTAATTGTTCCATGGATTTTAACTGTAGTCTGACTCCTTCCTTGTAAAGGAGTTCCTTATATGTAATCTTATCTTGCTTTTGCTCTAAATTTATGTTCTCTATCGCGTGTCTGGGTACTGTCCATATTGGTAACCTATCATTTAGTTTATATTTATATTTTTTCCAGACATGCAATAGAGCATTTCTTAATATATGACTTTTAAAAGTCTTATCTACTTTTTTATCATACACTAAGTAAGCATGCCAGCCATAAACCAAACCATATCCTTCAATATTCAATATCTTTTCCTCCGTTAAGTTTATCCAATCTGTGATTGCTGAGAGGGCAGCAGCTTCATAATACAATCTTAAATTGGGCATCTTAAGACCACCTCTTTCTCTAGTATCTTGCAATATCTTTTGTTTGACTCGTGGTTTCTTCCCTGCCCACACAAACTTATTTATGCCCTTCTGCCATTCCTTCAAATTCTCATCTTTTTTAAGTATTGGTATCATTTGAAAAAGAAATAGAAATTTTGGTAAAATATTCATTTTTACAGCAGCTATCCTTCCCAGCAAAGACAGTTGTAGTTTTTTCCAGTTGTCCAACTCTTTCTGTATTTTGTGCCATAATGGTTCATAGTTATACTGATATAATTTCGTATTTGCGGTCATAATATAGACCCCCAGATATTTAACCTTCTTAACTACTTCAAATCCTGTTAACCTTTCTATCTCTTCTTTTTGGCTCCTAACCATATTTTTAGCTATTATTTTCGTTTTAGCTGCATTTATTTTAAAACCAGATACTTGTCCGTATAAGCAGGTTATATCCATCAAGGCTGTAATCGATTGTACCGGTTGGGTTAAGGTAACAACCAGGTCATCCGCAAATGCTCGTACCTTGTATTCATGCTGTCTAATTTTAATTCCCTTAATTGTATTCATCTCGCGTATCTTGTTTAATAAAATTTCCAGCGTCAAAATGAACAATAACGGGGACAAGGGACAGCCTTGCCTTGTTCCTTTTTCTATATTAAAAACATCTGTTAAACCACCATTAACTATTATTTGCGCTGTTTGTTTTTGATATATTGCCTTAATAGATTGTACAAATTGTTCTCCAAATTGCATCCTTTCTATTAGTTTAAGTAAAAATTGCCAATTCAATCTATCAAAGGCTTTCTCAGCATCCAAGAACACAAGCACTGCGGGGACCTGGTTGTTCCTTCCCAAATACTCTAATAAGTTAACAATTTGCCTTACATTACCCTTCATTTGTCTACCATTTATAAAACCAGTTTGATCATGGTGAATCATTTGCTGCATGACTGTCATTAATCTATTTGCCAAAATTTTTGCAAATATCTTATAGTCTGTATTTAATAATGAAATTGGCCTATAATTTTTAGGATCTGTATCGTCATGCCCTTCTTTTGGTATCAACGAAATAAATGCTGTCTTCCAAGTTGGAGGTACCTCTCTTCCCTGTTGTATATTGTTAAATAATTCTTTCAGCGGTTCTATCATTTCCTCCTGTAAGGTTTTATAGTAAATAGCCGTCAAACCGTCCGTCCCAGGAGCTTTACCCACTTTCAACTGCTTAATTGCTAACGCAATTTCCTCAGAAGTTATCGATTGATTTAAACTATCCCTCTGCTCATTTGAAATTGTATAAATATTCTCTTTCTGCAAATATCTATCTATATCTATATCTTTAATTTTATCACCAGTATACAGCCTCGAATAAAACTCTAGAAAGGATTTTTTAATCAATTGTTGCTCATAAACCTCTTTACCCTTATATTTTATTCTCTCTATTGTCCTTGATTTTTGCTTTTTCCTTAACAAATATGCTAAACACCTGCCTGGTTTATTGGCATTGTAAAAAGTATTATGTTTTGCATATCTTAAATTAGTTGCCACTTGATCTGCTATTAACATATTAAATTGACCTTTCAATAAATTGATTGCCTCTTTAATTTTCTTATCTGTTGGATTAGCTACTAAAGCCCGTTCCTGTTTACTAATCTCATCTTCTAATTCTTTTCTTTTTGTCCCCTGTTTCTTTCTATATTTATTATTCAAATATATCAAAATTCCTCGCATATATGCCTTACTTGCATCCCATACCATTTCCATCGATGTGCCCTTTTGCATATTCATAACAAAAAATTCTTTCATAAATTTTTTACACTCTTTTACATTTTCTTCATACCTAAACAAATTATCATTTAACCTCCAGGACCTCCTAGGCCCTTTCTCATACTCCAATTCCAGCCAAACTGGACTATGGTCTGTCAATGTTCTTGAGCAAATCTTCGTATTTTTCACCCTGGATAAAAGATCGCTAGTAATTAATATAAAATCAATCCTTGAAAAGGATTGATGTCTATCTGAAAAAAAAGTAAAATCTTTTTCTTCCGGGTTTCTTTCACGCCAGATATCTCTCAACTCCCAGTCATCCATCATTTCCCAAAACACTTTGGGCAATTTTGCTCTTGTTGACACATTTTGTTTAGGTCCCATCTTGTCTTTTTTAACATCCAAAACACCATTCCAGTTGCCTAACAGGATACAAGTTTTATATGCCCAGTGTGTCAATTTTGAATGTAGTAAATTATAAAAGTTTTCTTGTTGATTCGGGGCATAAACTCCTATTACAAGTATTTTTTCTCCTTTTACTAAAAGTTCTATCGCTAAAAATCTGCCTTGATCGTCTGCTTCAATTAATTTAGCAACTAAGTCTCTTTTCAAATATATAACTATACCATTTTTCTTTTCTGGTGCTGCTGCTACGTAAGATGTACCAAGTCTTGCATTAATCAGATACTTTTGATCTTGTATTCTTATATGAGTCTCTTGTAAACAAATTACTTCATTCTTAAATTGCTTAAGATAGTGAAATATTTTTCTTCTTTTCTGTGGAGAATTCAAGCCATTAACGTTCCAAGTCAAAAATCTAGTTCCCATTTCTGGGCCTTTGGAGCCTCTGAAGCAAGTCCTGATGCTCTGATCTCATTTGAGTTTTAGGTCTTGCTCCCCCCACTGCTCCTGTTCTAGTAGTATCTTGAATCATTTCTTGAGTTGCCATCTGGGATTGTTGCTGTCTTAATTCTTCCTTGAGTCTAGCTGTCACCGATCTGGTCTGTCTTTGATCCTTTGGTAACTGCGAGAAATCAATCAGCGCCAACTCTTGAGTAGCCATTTGAATTTGTATTTCTTCTTGATCAGCCAAAGCTCCCCCCTGAACTACTGTCAAGAGCTCTTCTGTCTCAGCTTCCATTACTTCTTTCTTTCTTTTGCCTTCTGGTGATTTAGTTGATTTGGGTGTGCCAGCCTTTAATACATTAGTATGAAAATCTCTTGCTTTCCAAATTGTGTTGAGCCGATATCTCTCTCCTGAATAAGTCACCACTAGTCCAGTTGGCACCTCCCATCTGTACTGTATCTGACGTTTTCTCAGTTCATCCACCAGAAAGGCATACTCCCTTCTAGCTCTCAAGATCTTAGGGGGGATTTCTTTCATTGTCATTACTTCCTGGCCTTCCACCCGAAGCTTGTTTTTAAAAGTAGCCTGTAAAATTTCGTTGCGTACTCTCCTTGTAGTAAAATATATCACAATGTCTCTTGGTAGATGTTTCTGTCTAGCAATCCAGGAGTTAACACGGTACAGCTTGTCCATCTGCCAGCCCAGATCATTTTTGGACTCCCCCACCAGCGGTGCCAATGCCTCAGACATCATTTCTCTCAAATTCTCTTGTTTATTCTCCTTCACCCCTCTAAATCTTAAAGCAAATTCCATATCTCTGTATTGTACCATTATTACATCGTCTTCAGCCCTTTGAATTCTGTTTTGAGCTTCTCCTATTTTGCTATCCAAAATTTCAGAAGATTGTTTAATTTCCTCAACTCTGTCATCCACCATCTCAATATTGCTTGCCAGACACTTAAATGCCATTAATATATCATCCCTAATCCCCTGATTGCGAATTGCAATCTCATCTGACACAGCCTGTATCTTTTCATTAGTTTCCTTAATTTTTTCATTAGTTTCCTTAATTTTTTCATCAATCACATCAACAATTTTATTTTGTGTGATTTGGAGAGCTTGTTGCAACATTTCCAACGTTAAAGTCTGTGGATCCGCTGGAGGAGTAGAAACTTGTGATCTAGGAATATGAGCTGGGGAGCTACCAGCACTCCCAGTTCCTTTAGTAGGAACAGTTTTTACAGACTTTGAGGCCATTTCCAGTTTGAAATTAGTCTTTATATTTACTCAGAGTCAAAAAGAAGAGTTCCTCAAAAGATTTCCCAATGTTAATTAACGTTTAAAATCCTCCTTCTGTCAGCACAAAAGCTTTTTTTTTTTTCCCAAGCAAAGGGCTGCCAGCAAAACGAAACTTTTCCTGTAACTTTCCGTTTCCCCCGCCCTTTCAAGCTTCAATCGCCATATTGTTGCGAAGTACTAAGTGATTACTTCCGAAGGAGGCTCTAGGCATTGGAGTTAGGTAAAAAATACTTGCAGTCTGATTTCTCCTTGCTCGTTCCGCCTGCTGTTAGTTCAAGATGTTAATTCCCTCATTTCCATTCAGCAAGATTGGTCGCGGCTTCTAATTCCGCTAATTAGCTAATTAGCGGAGACGTCCCTGGTCTGGAGCGGCTTGACAGGCTTTTAGGGAACGCACACCCTTCGCGCCCCAGGATTTTTCCTAGGGCGTTCGGGGGGGTTCTACCTCCACCTGCCTGCTCTTCTCTCTCCCCTTTGCCCGGGGGGAGAATTTCAAGCCTCCAGACAGCGTTTGTCGGCTGTTCTGGGGCTTTAACGGAGCCAGGGAGCAGACGCTCTCAAAAGAACGTCTTTCAAAGCTCGCGGAGCCAGCGGAAGTCCCCTTTCTCACTTAACTTTTGAACAGCTCTGAAGCCTTTCATAGTGCTGGAATGGGATGCTTTGTTGCTCATAGCACGATTCTGGAGTCGTACCATGGATGAGGAATATACTGCTCCATTTTTCTGCCTTTTAGAATCTTTCTGTAACAATGTGCAAGTTCATTAAGGCAGAAAAATGGAATGGTTTGTTACTGGGTCTCACAACAGCAATCCAGAAATGGCTGTCATTTTGACCCTGTGGACAGCTACAAGACAAACCACTATTTTGCTGCCTTAACGAGCTTGCACATGCAGTGCAGTCATTCATTCCAACACTCTGGAAGCCTCGGAGCTCTTCAAAAGGTAAGTGAGGAAGAGGGTATTTGGCCTGATGAGGTGGGAATCAGGCATAAGGCTTGGGGTGAACCAGTGGAGTGGGCAAAGGCTTGTGGGGATTAACGAGGCAGGATGTGAAGGGAGAGTTGTCTCGGGAGGTGGGGGAGGCTTTTGGAGGACTGGGACAGGTTCACCCCTGAGACACTCCATGCTCCACTTAACAACCTGCACATTAGTTTAACGATTGCTTTGGTAAGAACAGGGATTGGAGATCGTTAAGTGAGATACTTCACTTAACAATCATCATGACATGCAACTGTAATAGGCAGCTCTATTGTGGTTGTATCTTGAGGACTACCTGTATTTCAGATGTTTTCTACTAGGAATATTAATGTAAATAGTTCAGCAAGCATATATTCCCCCATGAAATATGTAAAATCTTCTGAGTAGAAATGTAGCTTTATATACTGAGTCAACAATGTTTAACATAAAAGAAAACTAATCTTTTGTGGGAACTTAAGTTTAAAGATTTCAATGAGTTATGAAGGCTTGCATAGCTGTGTAGAACTACAGTAAGTTAAATAGAAGTTATATTTAAGTTTTCTTATGCAGTTGGATATAGCCTTAATTATGCTTGATTTTTCAGAATGCTTTTCCTGTTTCTGGACAACTGTACACTACTCATTTGCTGTCACTTGAAGCATTGTTGACAGTGACTGATCAAATTGAAGCACGGTGCCAAGCCAAAGTACTCAGAGGCATATATCAGCAAGAGAAAGAAATACTAAAACCAAATGCAGAAATTGCCAATATCATTAGAGAAGCAAGTGAGAATCATTTATTTGATATTTCTTTTTAAGTAGATAGTGACATTTGCCATTCTTGATCCTATTGCAGGTAACAATTGTTCTGTTCCATGTTTTATTTTAACAAACTATTATGTCTGTGCTATCTTAAACCTGTTTATGTCTATTGTGGATTTTTTTCTGTTCAAGATCATTTGTAATTTTTAATTTTGCAGACAAATTTGGCAAGGGACATACTTATTTGGGACCCCAATATTAGAGAGAATTCCTTTTGTTATTTGTACCCACTTGAACATTAATAGCCTCATTACTCATTTGTAAAATAATAAGGATAATCCTCTTTAGGAGGGCATTTATGTAGCAATGATTGCTAATAATAGCAATAATTGTTATAAGGATTATTTAATGCTTTGAATTGCTTTTTGTTTTTACCAGTATTTTTTTGGATGGTTTTAGTTTCAGTTTACTTTTACGCATTGCAAGCCACTGAGAATCATAAAAATATGTGGCCTACAAAAACAAATGATAGATAGACAGACAGATAGATACTCTTCTTACCCTATAGTTACTGAAGAACTGCAAACAAAACTTAAATCATCCACTGCAGAATTACCGGAGACATGTTCATCGAGTAATGACTGCTTGGCGACCTCCCACTTGAAACAGCAAGACTGTTTGAATTCAGATATGGAAAATGATACAGGTAAATCTGATTTTTAGTTTAGTAGTGGTAGCCTGGAACAGTGAAGCATATAAATAATATGGACTTGGTTTTGTGGTTCATCATTCTAGTTGGCTGTGAATAAGACTGGTGAATGATTGGGGGTCTTATCATATATTAATATGATATATATGTATGTATTATTTGGTGTTTTATCCCATACATAGTATACAGTAGGATATTGCTATATATCCCTTTCCTCCTTTTTTCAGTGGTTAGGACTTCATAGTGTTTCTACTGCAAAATTCTAGCAAGTATTTGCTAGAATACTCCTCTATTTTAATATATATGGCTGAATCTGAAGGTCCTGTTTTTTTGTTAAATAATAATTTCTGTCAGAATTGTGGCTGATAAAGAAGAGCAGTATTGCTGGCTTGTGAAGTTGAAAGTTGTTTTAATTGATTATAATCAGCAATGCTAGCTGTTTGAAAGGCTCTACTGTAAAAGCAGCCAATTGTTTTTTTGCAGAAAAGATCATCCCAAGAAAGCCTACTCGATTTTCCTGCTTCCTACCCAGAACACAAGAACTGATAATGATTAAGAATAAAAAAAAGGTATGGCATGTTGTTTCTGAAGCATCTGAAGTATTGTGGTCATTATGCATACAGTAAAGATGTGTGTTCATTCTTAAGTACAGTAGTAAACATAGACATAAAAGAAGAAAGGGGGGGATCAGATTTGAATATGCTATTCTAAAGTGAACTTTAAATACTTCTATTAGCATTTGAAAATATAGAAATAGAAGGACCCAAATAAATGCCAGAATTCCTTATAGGTGGAAAACATCAGGAAAGAACTGAGTTGGGGATTTACAAAGGCAATGGAAATGTTTTTAAAACATGTATAACCAATTCTCTTCAGTGCTGAAAACAACTTGCAAAAACATAATAGAATGGAATGGAAGGGAAGGGAAGGGAAGGGAAGGGGAGGGGAGGGGAGGGGAGGGGAGGGGAGAGGAGAGGAGAGGAGAGGAGAGGAGAGGAGAGGAGAGGAGAGGAGAGGAGAAGAGAAGAGAGGAGAGGAGAGGAGAGGAGAGGAGAGGAGAGGAGAGAGGAGAGGAGAGGAGAGGAGAGGAGAGGAGAGGAGAGGAGAGGAGAGAAGAGAAGAGAAGAGAAGAGAAGAGAAGAGAAGAGAAGAGAAGAGAAGAGAAGAGAAGAGAAGAGAATTCTTTATTGGCCAAGTGTGATTGGACACACAAGAAATTTGTCTTGGTGCATACGTTCTCGGAGTACATAAAAGAAAAGATACATTTGTCAAGAATCATAAGGTACAGCACTTAATGATAGTCATAGGGAAACAGTCAATATAAATCGTAAGGACACCAGCAACAAGGTTACAGTCATACAGTCATAAGTGGGAGGAGATGGGTGATAGGAACAATGAGAAGATTAATAGTAATGCAGACATAGTAACTAGTTTGACAGTGTTGAGGGAATTAGTTGTTTAGCAGAGTGATGGCGTTCGGAAAAAACTTCTTGTGTCTAGTTGTTCTGGTGCGCAGTGCTTTATAATGTCGTTTTGAGGGTAGGAGTTGAAACAATTTATGTCCAGAATGCGAGGGGTCTGTAAATATTTTTAACTGTAAACATTAGAAAGTACAAGCATTAAATAAGAAAATAAAATTGCATAACAATAACTAAAACATTTTATTTAGTAATTTGTTAGATTTGTATCTCACAATCTATATAGGAGCTCAGAGTGTTGCTTTTTTGTAATGGAACATGAGAAAAACTTTGGAGACAGCACGAACAGATGTCGTTAGAGAACAATCTTAGAGAACTATCCCTAAGATAAGAGAGGGCATAGCCCACACCTGGAAACAGGGCAGAGCAAGAGACTCAAATGGGAGCCTCCTTAGTTTTTTGGGCTATAAATAAGATAATTATTTGTACTTTCAGACTAACAAGGTTCTGTTAATGTAGCTCTACACTAAAGTAGCAATAAAGGAGGATATTTGTAGCTCAGGGTTGAATGAAACTTTGGTGCTCTCTGAGCTTGGTTTTCTTGCAGATGTTTCATTACCCAAACTAGGTAACAAGATCACTTATGTTTGAGTAATGTTACCTAGTTAGGAAATTGAAACCCTGCAAGAAAACAACCAAACTCAGAAACCACCAACGATTTCCTGATACTAAAGCAAAATTTGCATATGTATTAATTTATTTAATTTACTGATTGTGTTTCCTGTCTAATCCATCTGGTAAGGCTGACAGTCCTTCATTTTTTCCCCCACAATAACTTGAGTCAGAAGAGTCATGCTTTTAACTTCTATGCTTAAGAGTGGACATTAACCTGGTTTTGTGTAGACCCCAGGGTGCATATGTATCATCTCTCCTGTGGGAGCTGCATTGGCTGCCAATTAGCTTCCAGGTACAATTCAAGGTGCTGGTTGTCACCTTTAAAGCCCTTATTGGGATCAGGTTATCTGAGGGACCGTCTCTTGCCGGTTACATCTACCCGACCCATCAGAGCTGGGAGGCAGGGGAATGCTGCGGGTCCCATCTCCTAGGGAGATACCCCTGGTTGGACCCAGAAGAAGGGCCTTCTCCATGGTGGCTCCCTCTCTCTGGAACATCATTCCCCCAGAGTTTAGAATGGCCCCTACTCTAACACTCTTCCAGAAGGCGCTGAAGACCTGGTTCTGCCAGTGGGCCTGGGGAACCCAGAACAGGATGGAGCCCATTAAATGGTTCGTGTGATCTGCTGTTGCTGGGGTGGGGGTGGGAGGGGTGATTTTATTATATTATATTAATTTATTTGATTCTTTTTTTATTAGTTTTATTGTTTTAAATGAGGTTTTATATTCTGTAAGCAGCTTTGAGTCGCCATGTGCGAATAGATATAAATTCAATAAATTCAATAAATAAATAGAAATAAATAAACCTGAGTCTATGCAGTTCTCCTGTAGTACCTTAATTATACACTGCACTGATTCTGATTCTAGGTACCATGATTTACAATAGAGGCCAGAAAATTTGTTGTTAAGTAGTGCAGTCATTAAGTGAAGCATTACATGACCACTGAATTTTACCCACATTTTTGCCATTGTCATCAAATCAACATGATCATTGAGCAAGACATCAGGTGACTATGACTTGACACCTCCTCTGATGGCTTCTCCGTTGACTTTGCTTGTAAGAAGACAGCTGGGAATGTCGTAAATGTATTATTTATTTATATTTTGTATTTTTTAAGCTCCCATCTTCCTCAGAGATCACATGACCGCAGGATGCTGTAACTGTCATAAATATGCAACACCCTAAATCAAGGACCCGGCTGTACTAGCGAACTATCGTCCAGTCTCCAACCTTTGCTTTGTGACAAAGGTTGTTGAGAGTGTGGTGGCGCGACAACTTCTCCAGTACCTGGATGAAGCTGTCTATCTAGATCCGTACCAGTCAGGCTTCAGGCCGGGGTACAGCACGGAAACGGCATTGGTCGCATTGGTTGATGATCTCTGGAGGGCTCAGGACAGAGGCTGTTCCTCTGTCCTGGTCCTATTAGACCTCTCAGCGGCTTTTGATACCATCGACCATGGTATCATGCTGCGCTGATTGGAGGGGTTGGGAGTGGGGGGTACCATGTTGCGGTGGTTCTCCTCCTTCCTCTCTGACCGTACGCAGTTTGTGTTGGCAGATGGACAGAGGTCGACCTCGAGGCGCCTTGTTTGTGGGGTGCCACAAGGGTTGGTCCTCTCGCCCCTTCTGTTCAACATTTATGTGAAGCCGCTGGGTGAGATCATCCGTGGTTTTGGGATGAAGTGGCTGTGGTTTCCGGCGTCCCGATATAGCCAACTAGCTCCATTGCTGGCTATTGGGGGCGAGATCTTGACCCCCTCAGAGAGGGCTTGCAACTTGGGTGTTCTCCTGGATGCACGGTTGTCTTTAGAAGACCATATGATGGCTGTAGCCAGGGGAGCTTTCTATCAGGTTCGCTTGATTCACCAGTTGCGTCCCTTTCTGGACCGGGACGCCTTGCGCACGGTCACTCATGCCATCGTCCCGTCCCGTCTGGACTACTGTAATGCTCTCTACATGGGGCTCCCCTTGAATAGCACCCGGAGGCTCCAACTGGTCCAGAATGCAGCAGCGCGGGTAGTGATGGGAGCAGCATGGCGCTGGTCACCACCTTTAAAGCACTCCATGGCTTAGGACCTGGGTAAATTGGTTGAGGGTAAATTGCCCTCTGTAGAGCACAGCGGTATACCAGGCAGCGTTGCAACACAGATACTTCCAAACTCTGAACGTTTTAGTAAAAAGAATAGTCTTTACTGTGATAGTTCAAACAAAGCTTCTCGTAAACAAATATAAAGCTTTCAATACAAAACATTGTTGCTTACATTTCTAGTTCCGTAACTCCGACACAATATCTCTCAGCAATAACATCACAAGTAGGAGTGAGCAGTATTAGCAAAGCATACGTGAGCGTGCGAAGAAAAAAGGGGGAAGAGTGAAGAGTACTGCTGAGCTTACTGCCTTCCTTATATTTCCGTTTCAACCAATTACTCAATTAGTTACTTTACAGTAGTTAAAGTCATAGTACACATTTTTGATATATTGTCTACCCAACTGTAAGATACAGATCCAACATTCTCCCCTTTGGGTAGACTGATATATCTACGATCTTAAACGATATTGTTCACATGTATCTATATGTTTTCTAGTTCCCTGTGCTTTCGTAAAGTGATTTGCCACGTTGTCTTCTGAAGCACAATATACAAGTTCAATCATTTTGTTCTTTATACATTCCCTGACATTAAGATATCAAAGATCTGTATGTTTTGTTCTAGTCTTTACGGCTATATTTGTAGCCATTTTTATCGCTGCTTGGTTATCTTCATTGACTATTATAGGATCTTGTATATTTATTCCTATATCTATCATTAGTTGTTTAATACTGATCAAATCTGTACATAATAAAGACAAACAAGAAAACTCTGCCTCCATTGTAGACAGACTCAGATGTTTCTGTGTTATTGAACGCCACCCTATCAAAGATTTCCCCAGAAATATGGCTATTCCTGACGTTGGTTTTCTTGTATGAACATCTGTAGCAAACTAGCATCTGCATAAGCGGTTAAACGCAATTCTTCTGCTGGTTGCAGATATAAAGCATGATGCATGGTGTTTTTTAAATACCTAAGGATACGTTTTGCACCTTGCCAGTGAAATTCTGTAGGTTGCATGTTGTATCTAGCTAACTGATTCACGCTAAAAGCGATATCAGGTCTAGTCCAATTATTAATGTATAATAAGCTGCCAATTAATGATTGATATATCCCTTTTTCCAGAACGCTGCTACTACACTCCAGCATTGGGAAAATCCTCGTATCTGACAGCAACTGAGAGAACATTTTTACTACTTAACTTCCTACTCTGTGCTCTCTCCACGCCCCCTTTTGCACACGAATCCCCAGTCTTTCTCTCAGTTGCTGACAGACTGAGAGGGTTTTCTCTGTGCTCTGAGTATTGCGTTAGGTTTTTTGGTTATTTTTGATTAGCCCCCTTTTTTTGTTTTGGTTGAATTTCGGTCAGGTTTAGGTTTTAATTTCTCC